AAAAAAAAAGTCTCAACATTCAAATGAATATTTTTTCAACTTTTATTTCTTTTCTCTCAGTTTGTGAATGAAAATAAAATTATGAACTGTTCTTTTGAATAAATATTCATTTATCGTAGAAATTATATGAAATTTAATATGATTTTCAATCTCGTTAGGAAGAGTAGAAAGAAAAAAAAATTATTTGAGTACAATTTAGCATTGACCCGAAAATGAGAACCACTAATTTGCCAAAATAAAACAAGGTAAATAATAATTAAATAAAAGTTTTGTATGAATAAAAACAAAGTAAATAAATAAATAAATAGGTTTTTGGATAAGAACGAACCGTTGATTAAATGTTTTGTTAATTCAATTGATTTAACTTAATTTAGGGTTATTAGAATAATCTATTTAAATAAATAAATTACATTGATGTGCTCGATATGTATTTCTTCCACAACATTATTTTATTATCTTATTTTTAGTTTTCACAGTTTGATTATATATTCATGACTATTAAAAAATATATTTGATTTAGAAATATTCTTTTTAATATAAATTTTTTTAAAACAATTCATAAACAATTTAGAAATTAAAAGATACTTATATTTTATATTCACAAAAATCCTAAAAAAATTTGAACTTTTATTTTGGAGTAATATTAATTCCTAAACTTGTAAAGATGTCTATTAATTCCCAAACTTGCAAAATTGAACACGTTAAATCCTGAACTTGTTAAACGGTTCCATATTCGTCCACAGCGTTATTTGGTCAAAAAAACGAGTTGACCGATCCGACGTGGCTCGCCACGTCACGTGGCTCGCCACGTCACGTGCCACGTCGGATCGGTCAACTCGTTTTTTTGACCAAATAATGCTATGGACGAATATGGAACCGTTTAACAAGTTCAGTATTTAACGTGTTCAATTTTGCAAGTTTAGGAATTAATAGGCACTTCTACAAGTTTAGGAATTAATATTACTCCAAAATACAAGTTCAGGAATTTTTAGGGTTTTTTCCCTTATATAAATAACCTTTAATTATATTCATATTATTTTACGAGGGAACCAGAGGAAATTCCATAAATAGTTGAAAGATATCTCACTGTGTTGCGTTTACAATACGATGCATTTTATATTATCGTTATGGAACCAACCTCGGATAGCCAATGAAGACTGTAAGAGGAATTCACAAAATGAAGGCTCTTGCTGGGGAAGAGCCGCGAATAGAAGGAACCTGGCACTCCCGAAACAAAGCACAGACCTTTGCCAGTTTTGCAGAAGAAATGTGCAAACTTGAATGTCGTGTTGAAGTCGTTGTCGGGGAGATCGTTCAGACAACAATCGACTTCTGGAGGGTCTCGACCCCTTTCTTGGCACAACGCGTTGATGGTGTTCACAATTTCGGACATAACCAGGAACGTGTTTTGCCCCGAGGAGCAACCCAAGTCGGCCACTTTGACGCACGGCGGAAAATCTAATCCGATTAACATCTCTTTGGTGCTCTTCACCCGGACCGGTCTTGCTTTCTCTATAACTTTTCTCTGCCAATCCCACATGAGAACAACTACGTGATTTTCAAGAGAATTAACAGCATAACGAATAAAAACTAGAGAAATAATATGAAGAATGCCCCAATTCTCCAAGGATTGTCATAGGTATATTGTAGCAATAAATAAATTATCATCACATGGTGTCACATATAATCACACACATATATATATATATATATATGCATGTACCTGAAGAATAGAGTTGGAAGCGTAGCTGTTTTCTCCATCACCACCAGTCATACTAAAGGCACCGATAAAAGGGTACATATCAGTCTTCCCTCCATTCCCATGTTTGTCACCTTCCTCTCCATCACTGCGTGCATGAAACATGTGCACATTCATACATAGAAGCTCTGGAAGAAACCAAAATTAGGTTAAAGGAGAGTATATAGATTTAGATCGACTCATCATCAGTAATGAAGATGATGACCCATATGACGGTTTTACATGCTTAGAAGCTGTCCATGGACATGATATATACATATATATATATATATATATGTATGTATATATAAACAAGATGGAACCTTAAGGAAGAAGGAATGAAGCGGATGGAACCCGAATCTTCTTCTCGCATTGTATATTTGCAAGAAAAACACACAGAGGAAGTTGTTTAGGAGAGAGTCGTTAATCACTGGCTGTTGTGTGCGTGTGTTCATGCATTGCTCTCCCTATTAATAGATGATTATATGTGAAACATATCAACTCTTATAAATGGAAAATATTATTTTTTTATTAATTTATCACAAATGATTATGAAACCTGAGGGTGGCCCGTGATTCGTAATAAAATAAGTGCAGTCTGCAGCAATTTGGTTTCCTCGTATCGAAAAGGAAAAATTCCAGATTTCTATACATATACATACATATATATATATATATATGTATAAAATTTCTCGGTGGTTCTTTTAGAAGATGACGAGACGAAGCACCTAAATGGAAAAAAAAATTAAAAAAATCAAAATATCTGTCATTACGTGTAAAGAAAGAGTGCCAAAGACAATATATATTTCATCGATTATTTTTTTTTCTCAGCAATTATTCTCTATTTCATTTTGGCTGAGATCATGATAGTGTAAAACAAGAAAAAATATATTGAAAACTTCGAATTTCTCTTCTGGTTAATATGTCTATGTCGATTGTTGTTTCCGTGTTTTTTTTATTACTTGAGATTTTTACTTAAAATTTCGTATTTTTAAAAAAAAAATTAAGTTCTGATTGCATTTGTTTTGGATCCGTAATTTTCTTATTTTACTCTGGTATTTTTTTTTTACCGGATCCATCGACATACAAACAGTTAGTGAAGTGTGGATATTTTTATTTTTATTTTTTTTGCGAGGAGAATAGTTTTCTTCCTCCTAATAATTTTCCTCTTAAAAATGTACGAATCGATGAAAATGTAAAATGGCGTCCATAGAAAAAAGGCAAGAATACCATCTTTCATAAAAAAAAAAAAAGGCAAATCAGGAATCAAAATTGATGTAGTAAGTAAGACAATCATTTATTGCTATAACAGTAAATAAATTTAAGTACATGATGTAATTTCTTTAATTCTTTCTTAATAACATAATAAAACTAAGTAAAAAATATAATAATATATCAACTCTAGTATTATATACAATTCAAGTATTGAATTAAACTATCTAATAACTAGGGATGGGCGTTTCGGTTCGGTTCTGAAGAACCGAACCGTACCGAACCGAAAATTTTGGTATTTTTTTCAAACTATACCATTCAAAATTTTCAAACGGTATGATTTTTATAGAATCGAACCCAACATAACCGAACTTTATAAAATTTTCGAGAAACCAAAATTTTCTTAAGAAAATCTAAAATTTTTAAACAAAAATCGAAACGGAACCGAACCGAATAATATATGGTACTGATTTGGTACAAATTTTAGAATAGCAAATAAATTATTCCCAAACCGAAACAAAGGATAATGATTCATGTATATATAGTGGTGTGATCGTTCTTATCGGTACAAATAGAATAATCATACGAAATTTCAAAACTAACTTTAATTTAAGATTTTAAAATAAACATTTGTATTAAAATACAATACAACAACCGCGGAATTTTTCATTAAGGGGGATATTTAAAAAAAAGTCATAAAGGCAATTGACGATAAACATGTCGGGATAAACGTATCCTAACTGGCCGTTACGAAAAAAAATTGAAAAACATTTTTTATTTATTTTTTTGTTTTTGAAAACAATTTTTTTCTCATAAAGGCATGTGAGGATATGCAGATCATGACTCAGGACATGCCTTTTATGACCTGCTTGCTTTTATAAAAACAAAATTGAAAAATCTCAAAAAAAAAAAAAAATCATAAAGGAGGCTAGTTGATGCGTATCCTAGCTTGACATGTCCTCGATTATCGTTATTGAAAAAAAAAACAAAAATCAACCAATATAGGAAGAAGATAATGAACGAGAAAAATATATAAAAGTAATTCAATTTAATATTAAAAATTCTTATATCACTATTTTTTTATCTTTTGAAAATAGACTAATAGAAGAAATGTAAATACTAGATATAAACACTTTAAAGAATGTGAGGGAGAAAAAAAACGTGTGAGAGATGAAAAAATATGTGAAATGAATGAAACAAACGGGAGAGAGAGTAAATTATTATTTTTTAATTCTTTTTATAAAATTCGAATATTTAACAATTAAACAATAAAACTAAAAGTATTTAAGATTATTTATAATATATATATATATATATATATATGTATATATATATTGCGATGAAAATACATTATTCATCGTATGCCATTTATTTGGAACGTAGTCTTAGGAACAACTTTAAATTTTTTTCTCTATAACTTTTCCATACAAAACCCAGACGAGAACAATTAAAACTTAAATTGTTTCGGTAGTTACGTAACAATTATAAAAGCTGCCAAGTTTACGATCGATTTATGTATAAGATGTAGAAAGTTATTGCGTATTTGTTTTTTCCCTA